CACACACACATTAAAGCTGGGTACCTAACTTTCAAACCATTAACAATGTACCATGATTATAATCCAGTCACCTGGTCCTGGTTCTCACTCTTCTTCACATGCATTTGGCATTTTGGCCCATGTCATAGATTTAGACTTTTCAGACAAAGGAAATAGAAGAGAACCGTCACTCAGGCAACCAGAGAATGGAGTTAGAACAGATGGACACTGTCTTGACTAAAGGCATAACTGAAACACAATAATATTTTGATTTGCAAATGGTCTGTATCTGGAAAATCTATTCAGAGACTATCTACCAGCCGCAGATCGTAAAGTCACTCACTTTAGACTATTACAATATGTTAATGTTTTGTGCTCAGGCTCTTTCTTTCCCAAAACAATTGTTGTGTGCATTTAATTCAGCATTCTCCTCTGAAATCACAGTCGGCTCCGAGTTGCTGCAGTTACTGTACCGCAAAGTGTTTATCCTTTAGTACACAGCGCCCCCGTGTGGTCACCAAAGGCATAGCACACACTGAGAATCCATTCAACAAACTCAAATGTAGTTCAGTTTTAGAGAAATATGATGAATTATATTTTAGTTTGTTGAATTAACGGATTCTCACACACAACTGTTTTTTGTGGAAAAGTAAAGACAGATTGATTTGTCTCATAAAACTAGAACCGTTTAGACTTAGACAGATTTTATTGAACCAAAGGGAAATTGCGTTGTCACAGTAGCTCACAATGTCTCTCACAATAAAAAAAATCAAAACAACATTATAGTAAAGTAATAATCTGAAAACAATAATAACTATAATGAGATAAGCTAATATTGTGAGGAAAAAACTTAAAAATCTGTTAATATACAATATGTACAAGGACATTTACTACATATTATTATTGTTCTTTTATCTATCAACCCATTCAGAGTTACAATTATAAGTACATATACATAAAAACATACACATCAGAACATTAATCAGTTCATACAAATCTAAATGAATAACTAATGATAGAGTATTAAAATACAATATTTGTGTTGGCACTTTCCAAACAGCAGGTGGCAGCAGAGAGCTTCAGAGGATGAGAGCTGTCATGTTCTCAAAAAGAGGAATTTCCCATAATCATTGTAAATAACAGGGTCTTCATCTTTCCACTTCACGGATAAGCGAAGTGGGAACATTTCAGAGACTGCAAAGAGGTTTGTAGGTCAGTTTTTGTAGATTTTTCTCAAATGGTCTTTGAGAATCTCTGAAAGAATGTAGTGGCTTCTTCTCTGATCCAAGCTATTCCTTTCGAAAGAGAAAAAATGTGCTTTTGGCTGCAGCTACAGACCAACCATGACTTAAATACTCTGACTGGCCCGGTATGTTTCGTACCGGGCATAATAGTTTTTCAATTGAGAAATGCCAGACCGACCTACCCACTGAAATTCCATGGAGGCGGGCCTTAAGGTCGGCTGGAGCCAGGCTAGAGGTCTTGAGCTTCATTCATTTGATGCTTTTTATGGTTGCTTGGCAACCCAGTCTTCTATGGTATTCATAGAGGTAGGGAGGTATCCCCCCTCCCCTCCATGTGTGTGTGTGTGGTGTGTGTGAGGGAGAACGTTGGATCCTACTGACTGTGGAAACACGGTAGGATCCACAGTAGGTGTGGAAACACCTACTGTGGATCAATGAATGAAATGGAAATGAAATAAATGAAAGTAAGGTCTTGTCTTTTGTCTTTGTGGTTTTGTCAGGGAAGACTGTGGTTAAAACAGCATTAACAATGACAAAATGATCCTATTTCATAAAGATACAATACATGTCTTTCTTGGAATGAAAAAAAATAAAATGTCTAAATGTTCCTGGTCAAGACAATCCCTTGAACACATCCAAACCTTACTACAGCCATAATAAGTCTGAAGGTGCGAATGTTTGAACACAATGTTTCTGCTAAAGAGAACAACAAAGGCATAGAGTTGTCGATGTATCAAATTTTGAAAGAATATTAAAGGGAATAAGGCTAGAGCAAGAACTGGGACAGCCTGCAGAGTTTATCTCGAATACTAACAGTTGTATTATAATCTGTAATTTCCATGAAAACTTGAGCTCATTGATTCAGCTGTGCATGAATTCAGGCCGTAAAAAGTGCTGAGTAGAGACTTAGCGAGGCCCCTAGCTCTCCTCCACAGAACGAGAAGCAAACAGCCTGCGTCCTCGAGCCTCTACGGCGCTGCTAAACACTAGGGCTTTGACTTCGCAATTCAAATATAATTCGAAAATTAAAGAATATTGATATATTCGAACGAATATTATGTATTCAAAATGTGTTATTAGCCCCGTGTTATTAGCCGACACGGCAGCCAAGCGCGCTTTGATGACGTCGCTGTTTACGTTACTGTTGCTCACCTGCCAATCATCGTATTAACACAGAAGGTTTGTGTAATTAAAGCTGGGGTACCTAACTCCTGCCGTTGCTCATGGATTGATAGAAGTGTGATTGACCCAACATGAACATTTATTGGAAAAGCCAAATCTTGTGAATAAATCTGAAATGCCATGCTATCTTCCTCTGATTAGAAAACAGTTTTTTTCCATATTTCTGAGAAAATGTTTCTGTCTCTTCAGGCTGAAAGCTGATTGGCTGATTAAGGGTGGTCCTCTCTTTCTCTTTTTTTGTCTGAAAAAGCTCTAAACTGTTGGATTAATTGTATTATATAATTCATTTCCAATTGAATCCACTTTATTTATAGAACACATTTTATAACACAAGTCTTCAAAGTGCTGCACAGACAAAAGTGACGGATTTAAATATACAGATTTGCCAGCTTCATCTGTATAAACATAGAATATGTGAAACAATGACGATGTGTACAGTAAAAACAAGAACACTTTAATAAAAAAAGCAAAAAATACCAGTTGTCAAAACAAAAATAACTATATAATAAAACAGGTAAAACAGAGGACCACATGGTACTAAAAGCCAAAGAGTAAAAGTGATTCTAATGGCGAGACTTAAAACATTCCAACGAGGAAGCTTTCTTGACTTGTTTCTGCAAGAATTCACTGTTTTTTATTTTTCCTGAGTACAATAAAAACAAAGTGAGAGGAGAGATGGTTCGTACGAGATTGTAGCAGCAGTGCTAATTTACACCTCTGGTCCCAGTGTAATGGGAAAAGTGACAGGGATGTGAACCCAGTGGGAAACATGTGAGTCAAATGAGCCAGAATCACTCGCAACTTTGAGAAGACAAAACAATTAAGGTCTGAAAAGATTCTGAGGAGATGGAAAGATGAAAGTTTTTAATGAGACCATAGACACCAAAAAGCACAAGGTTCTACTCCAGAACAAGTACAAGTGAGGTTTGTACCAGTCTGGTCTTACCATGTGTAAACTCTGGTCCATGGTCATTTCCTACATGTACGTCTGGTCTTACCATGTGTAAACTCTGGTCCATGATCATCTCCTACATGTACGTCTGGTCTTACCATGTGTAAACTCTGGTCCATGATCATCTCCTACATGTACGTCTGGTCTTACCATGTGTAAACTCTGGTCCATGATCATTTCCTACATGTACGTCTGGGTCTGATCCTAGTGGCTGCAGTTTCCTCGGTTGAATCTCCTCCGACCAATCAGAGAGCGGGGGAGGCGGGTGTTGTAGGTCGGTGTCAGTGACGTCAGAGTTTGTGCTGAATTTGCTGGTTGTAGTTTGTCGGTGAATGTGATAGTAAAATAATCTGTTCTGGTTCAATCCAAATATCAAGAAACTGAAGCCGGAGCAAGAGGAATGTTTAGTAAATGTCATTTCTGCAAAGATGTTGTGGCTCTACTCCCCACGGGCTCCGTTAGTGGCAAAGGAAATGGCTAAAGCTAGGCTACATGCTAAAGCTAGGCTACATGCTAAAGCTAGGCTACATGCTAAAGCTAGGCTACATGCTAAATGCCTCACTCACTCGGGCTCATTACATACGTCACTGTAAATTCAGATCCAATGGTTTCAATCTGCAAAAGAAGTTAACCCCTCCCACCTGTTAACGGAGTCAATGGAGCAAATCCAGACCTTAGTATGACATGAAATGAGTACCATGGTGTGGTAAGACCAGGCTAGGTTTGTGGGAATGCGCTGAAAAAGATCCAAAGTGGCACATATTACACAATGAGGCTTTATATTGATGCAAATTGATTGAAAGCTGTTCAAAATGTATTCTGGCGACTCTTGAGAAATGGGAATGATTAAGTCTCTTTGTCCAATGCCAGTGTAAATATTTAATGCCAGTTAAAGCAGGGGTACCCACCTTTTGTACCATGCATAATACATGTTATGTGACCCAACAGAAAGAGTAAAAAGAAACACTTTGATCAACAAATTGAACCACAAACATTCTTTCTTCATCTTATAGAACTCATGCACATTCTGCTCCCGGGAAAGAGCCCAGAGAGTCACACAGAGGCAGCATGTCGACACAGCGGTTAGTAAGAAGGTCCTGTTTTTGATCTAACCTTCAGTTTTTACATGTCTTCCCCGTATGTGCACAGGGGGTTCCATTAATAGGTCTCAATGTAAAGAGCGAGTGAACATACGGTGACGGTCAGAGGCTTCCGTACTCCAAAAACAGTGTGAAGCATTTTAATAATGATAATAATAATAATTAATCGGTTTTATATCGCACTTTCCACAGCGCTTCACATATCATTATTAATTCATTCCATACATGATGATAAACTACCACTGTAGCCAAAGCTGCCCTGGGGCACATTGATAGAAGTGAGGCCACCACCACCAAACATTCCCACACACACCAGACTCAATCCAGGCAATGTGGGTGAAGTGTCTTGCCTAAGGACACAATGGCAGTTTAGCACTTTACAGCTACAGCCTCCCCACTGTGGCACCAGGTCTCCCATCACAGGACTAACCAGGCCCTGCCCTGCATAGCTATAGTACAGAGGTCTGACAGGTCCATGTAGGTCTGTGTGACCTTGCTCTGTAAGATGTGCTGTACAGAGATTTCTTAAAATACTGATCTAAAGATGTGTCAGAAACGGAAAAGAAACTAAACTTTGTGTGAAAACTAGTTGCATTGTGTTTACCCCAGCTTTAATAACACGTTTATTCATTCTATCGGCTAATCGATTCTTTTGCTAGCTTGTGCACTAGTTTAAGGCATTTCTCCAGCAGATATGGAAGTAGAAGTATCGTAGTGTAACATATGTTTAACTTCATGCATCGTTCTTGCCCTTTCCCCTTCAAACTCCCTCCCTGCATTTCACAGACCACTAACCTCCCTCCACCTCCCGTCATGTGCGAGGCTGCGGCTTCAGAATGTTTTCCACCATCTCCCGGAGGTCAAACCAGATCTCATCTCCTCATCTCTGCGTTCCAAAAGCCCTGTGTTCCGCTCGCCGTGTCCAAAACAGGCTAATTCTCTGTTCAAAAAATCATTCACGAGACGCCCCAGCACAATGTCAACGCCAGCGGCCGGAGTGAGCCATCGAGACGACAGGCACTTGCTGAATACGCCTGTGTTCGGGTCCTGATGAAGTGCGGCAGCCAAGGCCATCACCGCCATTGAATTACGCAGTCGCCTTGGTGTGAAGAAGGTGATCTACTGCCCCCTCCTGGTGATAAAAGCATGTATTAAAGTGTGCTCTCTCCTCTTTCTCTGCAGTGACGACCACAGATCAGCAGTGGAGCTAGGTTTTGGGAAATTAAGCTAACACATTCTGATGAGGCTAAAATGTTAAACTTATAAGGCTCAGAAATGTATGTTTAAAGTAGCAATATGTAAGATTTTCATGTCAAGTCATCATTAAAGGGCCCTAATCTGACAAAAGGCATAAATTAACCATAATCATTTCCAATACTTCTTTAACTGATAAAAGTAGTTCAGAGATCTTTGAATTTCATATTAGTTTTCCAGCCTCTAAATCTTGTTATTGTTTTCATTTCGATGTCCCGCCCTCCACCATTTCACCAATCAGAACGTCTGTGATCCGGGCGCCAGAACTCACCGCGTGGAGCTAATCTCACTGGTAAAGTACCATGTGGCGCAGAACTAAAAAAGGTCTTGTTATGATTCTCAAATCATTAACGACAAAACAAGGAATAAAACCAGGATTTCTATCTTTGTGAAAAAAGTGTTGGTTATAGATTTGTTGTTGACAAAACTCTTGTCTATTCAGCTGTTATGGTCCCAGCTGGATTCGTCTGCATATCTGGCAACCTGAGTCAGGGAGAGTGGGAGAGGCTGCAGTACCACTTTTGGCCAGATTTTTAACATTTTGCTCTTTTAAACCATGTAACAACACATTTCACTCATCAAAAACACCCCGTTCTGTGGATTCAATTGTTGTTTTTGCAATTTAGCCTTATCCTCACTGCACAAACCCATTGCACTCATTTAACCTGCCTTTTGACCTAGTCTTTTTGCAGTTGTGTGTTACGTGTGAATTTAGACCAAAACGTTTTTTAGCCTGAAAACACAATATGCCACTCACATGCTCTCTCTTCATACAGTTGTCGAGGTGAATGAGAAACTTGCTGTTGTCCGTTACGAAGCAATTCCCTCGTTATTTGGACCTGATTAAATGTACACGCTCCCGTATTCCTCGTGGTGACAAGTTGACACGGGTCCAAACAACACAACTACTTCTACTACTGTTGTCTCAGGTCAACACACCGTTTCAACACAAACTCAGATCAGACTGTGCCGAGTTTCAAGACCAAATGAACAAGATCGTAGACACACATGAGCAGCTGAGCGGATCTAGAGAAAGGGTGAGAAGCTGATTAACACACAGGAGCTCAGAGTAGCGCCTCTGCTCCTCCACATCGAGAGGAGGAAGTCGAGGTGGTGAGAAAAAGTACCTTTTGGGACGACCCCCCTGGAGAGGTGTGGGGACACTCTTGACACCTGGGAACTCGACTCAGTCTGTTGCCTTCCTGCTCCAGCCCTATAAGTAAGTACAGTAAGTAATTTTTATTTATATAGCGCCTTTCACAGACCAGAGTCACAAAGCGGTTTACAATTATGGCCATTTGTCTCTGACTCCGCACAGAGATGGAAGCGGGGCCAGTGCAGGAGGACCTATTGTACATGCTTTTAATGGTAGGGGATACTCACACGTTCTTTGACATCTATCTATGCCGTCTTGTTCACAAAGGTACAGAGAGTCCGGAGAACTCTTTTAACATATGCTTACTGTTCACTTACAGTTCACCGTAGAACTAGCAAAACAACATGTAACAACTAAGGATAAGACAAAAATAATAGACAAGAGTTGACAGTGACGTCAAGAGTTTGTGCTGAATTTGCTGGTTGCAGTTTGTCGGAGAATGCGATAGTAAAATAATCTGTTCTGGTTCAATCCAAATATCAAGAAACTGAAGCCGGAGCAAGAGGAATGTTTAGTAAATGTCATTGAGGCAAAGATGTTGTGGATCTACTCCCCACGGGTTCCATTAGTGGCAAAGGAGATGGCTAAAGCTAGGCTAATGCTAAAGCTAGGCTAATTCACAATAAACAGATCATATCCTTTCAATCAGCAACACCTAACGGAGTCAATGGAGCAAATCCAGACCTTAGAACGAAATGTAAATGAGAACAGTGGTTTGGTAAGACCAGGCTACTATTCAACTGTCCGGAAAGCCTCTATAAAAATGTACAGAAATGAAAATACATGAAAAACGTTTCTTGACTCTAAAACCACACCAGTGCCACCTTATGACAAAACCAAAAACTGTACCATTAGCAGTGACAACATGGATCAAGCGTCCGATTATTACCACGTGACTATGAACTGTATTTGACGAACTTCACCATTTGCTACAACTTTCTGAACCCAATTAGTTCACGTCCCTGAGCAACACCGAGGCTCCAGCTCACCGCCACTGCCCATTCCACGTACGTTCCAACAAGCCCAGCCGCATCCACGGATAATTACATCTGCGCGATCCTACCTGTGAATCGGGGGTACATTTGTCAATTGTTTTTCACTTCTCCATCTCTACCAATTACCATTTTGCTAAGCCTAATTTCCCGCACATGCCCGATTGCACGGCTTTCTCCCCTGCTTTTGGATCGGTGGTGGTTGCCTGGTAGCTGTGAGATTACCGTGCCATGTCTTGTTGCAGCAGCAATGACCACGGGTAGAGTATAAAGCAGCACAGCGGGCCACACAGAGCACTGCAGCTGTCCTTAGGCGCGCTTCCAACCAGAGAGAGCTGAGAATAAAGTAGGGAATTAGGGGGATGGGGGGGTGACGGCGAGCCAAATACCCCCGGGCAGACAGCCAAGTGGGCAGCGAGGCCAAACCAGCGCCGCGCGGACAGGTTTGCGCGCTCAGATAAAAAGCTCCGCGGGTCCTCCACGGCTCCGGCCAAGCGTCTTCCATGCGCCGCAGTGTGCCACGGGCGACCGCGACTCACAATGACCCCGTCCAGCTGGAGACGGAGTAATGCTCAGGCCTTTCACGGAGAAGACAAAAGGAGAGGAAAGTAGCTCTAAGGCGATTTTCTGTCTTGGTTAAAACAGGCCTCGAAGAACGCTGGTGTGTCCGTGGATTTATAACGTGGACTTCAAGCCAATTTGAGGATTCTTTTCTCCTTTGAAAAGTTGTGTTGATTTGTTTAGTTTTTTGGCAGAGAAAGAATGAAGTGGTCACGTTTAATGGATTAAATTGGACGGCAGGATTGAATGTGTAAACAGAAATGTAAGTTGAGGAAAAAGACACAGTAAAAATTGAAATTGAATAAGAATTTTGTTTTTACTAATGGCTTCAATAGAGTAGTATTCAGCATGATTTCAGTAAATAGTCTATACGGTGATGGACCTTAGATCAAACGTGAGAATTTAAAAAATAAAAAGTCTGGTGTACGAGCGACCGGCCCCAGCTGGATTAGTCTGCATATCTGGCAACCTGAGTCAGGGAGAGTGCAATACCACTTTTGGCATACTACTCCTTTAAATAAAACACAGTCCACTTTATTAGGTCTTAGTTCAACAGGTTTATGCATCATTTACTCATGTTTTAATGAACATTGAACCAGTCCAACCTTCGGCTAATTGTAGCACTTTCTTTTGTCTGTTTGTAAGTTCTTCACATTAGCGAGTAACAAGCGAGAAACAAACTCTTTTTATTCTGAAGGAACGATGCTGTAACGTGGTTGATTAGTTGCAGGTATGTTGTGAACCCTTTGCTTTCTCTAAAGAACCGGAGCTTGACGCCAGTTTGTGTCTTTGCTGCGGTCCTTTGGGTGTTCATTATCGCGGCGCACAGCGATGAGGGCGACTTCAGCTCCAGGCAGCCTTCTCCAACACCGCGACAACCAGAGACCAGCCAAAACATACAGTACATGCTCGAGATGTGACGCCACTTACTCCCAGACAAATGCATTTCAGCGGGACTCCTGCTGCTTCCATGCGCCGCTAATGCAATTAGAATAAGTGTAATGCATGAACTCAAAGGGAAAGTGACTCCCAAAGTGCACCGTATCAGCGATATAAGCTGTAAAGACATTTCTAGGAGACGTGAATTTAAATAACAAGCATACATTCTTGTTTCCAGAATTGACTTGACAAGAAATACCAAATGGAAAACTCATGTATCAGAAGTCGACAGCTATTTGCCAAAATTGCCAAAATGGTAAAAATAGTTTGCGTCTATTCAGGGTAAATACGCACACATGCAGAGATGAAAGAGGACCCAAAATGCAGAAATAAAAGTCTGGTGGGAAAACAAAAAGTACCAGGAACAGGACAGACATAGACAATGGCCCAGCAACAGTGGGAGAGAAGCACAGGTACATGTACCAGATCCTGTCAGCCCTCTGAAGCTGTGCAGGGCAGGGCCTGGTTAGTACTGTGATGGGAGACCTCTGGGAACACCTGATGCCACAGTGGGGCGGCTGTACAGTGCAAAACTGTGGCTGTGTCCTTAGGCAAGACACTTCCACCACATGAGAATGAGTCTGGTGTGTGTCTGTGAATGGTTGGTGGTGGTGGGAGGGGCCAATGGCACAGACTGGTTGCCTCGCTTCTGTCAGTGTGACCCATGGCAGATGTGGCTACAGTAGTAGTTTATCACCACCGTGTTTGGAGTGAATGAGTATTGTAATAAAAGACTTAAAGTGTCCTGAAAAGCACTGTACAATAATCATGATTATCATAGGGCGACAGTGGCCCAGTGTGTAGAGCATTGACCTTTGAGCCTGAAGGTCGTGGGTTCGAGCCCACTATAAGACTTACCCACAACTCCCACTGATGACTGCTGTCGTTTTTTCCTTGGGCAAGACTTAAGTGTCTTGCCCAAGGAAAAAACAACCCCGCTTTGCCTGAAGCCCCCGCTGAAAGATCTCAGCTCCAGTGGACTCAGCACCTGCAGGAGGATCAGTGAGGGGCTGGTGCTCTGACTGCCAACCCCCGACCCAGAAATGGATTAAGGGGAAAAAAATGGATGGATTGATGGATATTTTCATGATTGTAGAAACAGCACTTGATACCCATAAAACATCCATATTTCAATTTGTTTGGAAAGGTTTGTTCCAAATGCTTTCATCACGTGTAGAGTTTAACCACGACAGATGGACAGAAGCCTCACAGACTCTCTGGGACATATGGGAAAGTTTAATGAGCAAGAAATCTGAGCAGAAACTACAACATTACAGAGTTATAAACCTTTTACTGTACACTTCTGCGAGAGAGTGATTAAGACATTCTGCTTTTTCATTTAAAAGCACATTGTACAGACAAATAATGATAAGTGGAAGAAAAAGTTCTAAAAGACACATGGATAAAAGTGTGAACAAAGAAACAAAACTTTATGTAAGGCGCCGACACTTTCTCAACAAGTAGTTTATACTTTTTGGTGGCTTTACCTGTGGCTCAACGCATGTGTCAAGATTATTTATAAGGCATATTTTCATTTTTGTTCAATTTATACAACAGTTTTGAACAGTTTTACAGTAAATGTGCATGGTATAATACTGTCCAAATACACCAATCATATATTTTAACAGATTCAATAATACAGTAGTAACAACATTTTAACTGAATTCAACAAAACAGCACATTTTCAACACACATTTTGCTTATTACTTTAGTTTAAGTTAAAAGCCAAGACAACATAATGTGTCTTGAAGGTGTTTGTTCTACAATATTCCAATCGGCTGTTCTCACTGAAGTTTTGATTTTCGCTAAAAATGGCTCTGGTAGAAACATAACAGATGTTTCTGCTTTGTCTGGGTGGACATGTTGTTAGCTGTAGCGGTTCTGTTGGTTCCACTTTTCAAATTTTGTACATACTATTACTAGTACAGTAGGTCATTTGCTTGCATTAAAATAATAATAATAATAATAATACATTGGTTTTGAATAGCACTTTTCTGGACACTGAAAGACTCCTCACATCACTTCACTTCAAACACAGTGACGATAAACTACTACTGCAGCCACATCTGCCCTGGGGCACACTGACAGAAGCGAGGCAACCAGTCTGTGCCATCAGCCCCTCCCACCACCACCAACCATTCACACACACACCAGACTCTTTCTAATGTGGGGGAAGTGTCTTGCCTAAGGACACAACCACAGTTTGGCACATTACTGCCTCAGTCGCCCCACTGTGGCACCTGCTGTTCCCAGAGGTCTCCCATCACAGTACTAACAAGGCCCTGTCCTGCTTAGCTTTCAGAGGTCTGACATGTTCTGGCCACAGCTTTTACATTATGGCTCCGTCGTGTGTTTTGAGTAAAAGTTATTGTTATCAGTTCATTTCTCTTCTCTCGATCGATCTCTGTCGAATCATTTAATCACAGAATTGTTGAACTTCCACAAAGACAATGAAAGACACAAAACGACATTCAAGCTAAACTTTGATTATCGTCTAAGAAAATGACGTCTTGTGTCGCTGCGTCGTCTGCTTCAGCCTCGTTCGCCGCCGCCGCCGCCTCCAAAGACTGACTCTGCACAATGCGTCTTGATTGAACAAGTCAGAAACCCGATGCAGCCAACCATCGATTGGACATTCCAAGGTCAAAGCCACAAACTTCAGCCCAACAAAAGGATGCTTTACGACCGGGACCAGGTTTTGTTGGAATCCTCTCGCTTTTCCTGGCACTGCATAAAACAAATTAAGACTGAGTTTTGGACTGACAAATCTGATTAGAAGGAAAGCCAAGCCCAAGACACGAGCCTTTTAGTCTAATTACAGCCATTCACCCGTCCCCTTCTGTGGACCGCCCTTCTGTGGACCACCCTTCTGTGGACCACCCTTCTGTGGACCACCCTTCTGTGGACCACCCTTCTGTGGACCACCCTTCTGTGGACCACCCTTCTGTGGACCACCCTTCTGTGGACCACCCTTCTGTGGACCGCCCTTCTGCGGACCGCCCTTCTGTGGACCGCCCTTTTGTGGACCGCCCTTCTGTGGACCACCCTTCTGTGGACCACCCTTCTGTGAACCGCCCTTCTGTGGACCGCCCTTCTGTGGACCACCCTTCTGTGGACCACCCCACCACGGACGTCAAATAGAGGTCACAGAAGAGACTGGACACACCTGTCTGTAGAGTGACAGGTGCCAGCTGGACCAGGGCTGGACCAGGGCTACACCAGAGCTGGACCGGGGCTGGATTGGGGCTGGACCGGGACTGGATTGGGGCTGGACCGGGACTGGATTGGGGCTGCACCGGGACTGGATTGGGGCTGCACCGGGACTGGAATGGGGCTGGACCGGGACTAGACCAGAGCTACACCAGGGCTGGACCGGGGCTGGACCGAGGCTGGATTGGGGCTGGACCGGGACTAGACCAGAGGTACACCAGGGCTGGACCGGGGCTGCACCAGGGCTGGACCGGGGCAGGACCGAGACTGGACGGTGGCTGGACCGAGCCTGGATTGGGGCTGGACCGGGACTAGACCAGAGCTACACCAGGGATGGACCGGGGCTGCACCAGGGCTGGACCGGGGCTAGACCGAGGCTGGACTGTGGCTGGACCGAGGCTGGATTGGGGCTGGACCAGGGCTGGACCGGCGCTGGACTCTGGCTTGTCAATACAGCTCATATAGGCTTCATATGAACAGAGCTTTTACCGTGAGAGGCAGTGATGCATTATTGATGTTTCCAAGACGAAGTATTACATTATTATTACAGTATTATTAGTAGTACATGTCTGACATGTGCACAGGAGGTTGTGTGTAAACCTCCAAACCTGAAACATCTGTTCTGATTAATGGAGACGAGTGAGCAGCAACGGACAGATACAAGAGGATTTTGTCAAGTAAATCAGAGAAAAGTCGGAAGAAGAAATTGATAGGGCATTTTTTGGAAGAGGTATTGTTGCATGAATCAAATTTGACCAAGAAGGAAGAACAAGGAAATCTAAAAGTTCTATTCAAACATTTATTTTACTGTTACAATAATTTGATTTATTTTCTCAAACAGGAAGTCCAGACACTCCTTTATGGGCCCCGGTCTGTCGTCTTCTGTCCTTCCAATAATACACATAAGTACTATTCCAATTCTTGTGGGATTTCTGCAAAGGCCGAGAGTATAAAAAGCAAATACAACCGAGAGCTGTAGGACAAACATGAGTGACCAAAGTGAAGACATATCTGCTCTGGATGTTTACAGAAATGACGTCAGTGTTGATATGTGCGGTTCAGAGCTTCTCTTCACGCTTCCTTACGTTGATTTAACTCTGATACATGTAAATAATCTGTTCTGACCCGGACACATTGTTCTTCGACCTGGATATCACAGATAACAGAACAACATGTAATATGTGTTTGGATGAGAGAGAGAGAGAGAGAGAGAGAGAGAGAGAGAGAGAGAGAGAGAGAGAGAGAGAGAGAGAGAGAGAGAGAGAGAAGAGAGAGAGAGAGAGAGAGAGAGAGAGAGAGAGAGAGAGAGAGAGAGAGAGAGAGAGAGAGAGAGAGAGAGAGAGAGAGAGAGAGAGAGAGAGAGAGAGAGAGCCCAGTAGCAGCAGAAAAAAAAAACAATAATAATATGGATCATTCTAAAAATCTAACAATAATAACAGGTCACAGCAGCAGAGGTGGAGTAGCCTCTGGGTGGAGTAGGACAGGTCACAAGGTGGAGCCTCCGCTTGGTTCAGATCATTTTCTCTGCTCTGGTCTGGACCAGTGTAAAACCATGAATCCTCTCTGCTCTGATCTTATATTGTAGACTACGGCTCTCTCTCTCTCGATTAACATTTAAGCTCCTCTACATGTTTAATCTCACACAGTTTGGCTTGGGTCGGCCTGCTCCTATATTTAGCATCGCGCTCTCGTTGTTTGCAGCAGAAAATGGTGCTTTTGCAGGGAGGTAATATGACCTTAATATGTCAGAACGCTGCTGCATCTCCTGGCTCAGCTCCTGTCAATATTCCATCAGAATCAGCAGTTTTCAGAGAGCCACACTCCAGCTAACCCCACGGACTGCGGGGAGGAGCAGCGCCTGTCCTTGGGTGGATAACAGAGGAAGAGTATGGCCCAGAGTAGGAGCGGGAAAGTGTGGGCAAACAGAGCAATGGGAGGATGTAACGGGAGGATACAGGGCATTTGTGCTGGTGCTGCTTAGATCAATATACTACTACTACTACTACTACTACTGCTATAGAGGGGAGTACTGTACATACCACACACAACAGCAAACAGAGAAAAGTCTGACTGGATCAATTGTTCCATAAAAGTAACGCCTATCTCTGACATATATTTAGTTATGTATTGATTTATTTGTATGCAATCAATACAATATTTATAGCCGTGACTAATTTGAAAAGTCTGTCCCTAGAAAAACACAATTTACATTTTTACATTCACATAATACCAATGCAGGCATCCTCCAACTCATCACCGATCACACAACTGGTTTGTTCATTGAAAAATCGCTTCTGTTTGTGTTATGGTGTGGACTTTTAGATTAGGTCTCCTGGTTTTATTTTGATATATTGTTTATTTTGAGTGTTACCTTATGTTTGTTCTGTTGATGGTCTGTCCCGCCCTAATGTGTTTCACCTGTGCACGTGCGCCGACATGCCAGATTGACATGCTGCAATCTCACTCCAGGCCTGTGGGGGTGTACCCGGAAAGAGAATTACCCAATGCTTTTGCATGCTGCTTTCTGGAAAACAGCTTAACATGATGGTCCAAAAGTGGTTATTTGTTCCAAGCGTGACAATGTCTGTAAATATTTACGGTATATACTTTGAACCAGGGGTAGAGTAGGGCTGAGTAGAGTAGAGTAGAGCTGAGTAGGGCCGGGTCAGACAGGTGAACACATGAAAATAGCAGGTAATAATGTACACATATCATGAATATGGAGAGATTGAGGCTGTTTTGAACTCGCTGTAGTCCTGCAGGTCAAGTACCACTGCTCCGTATCCTTCAAGAACACTGTGTTAAGCATGGACTTGATCATGGACTTGGCAGCGTCAATTTAAGATGTATTAGAAACAGAACGAGAAGCTGGGCCAGCCGACGAGTCAGCTGACGCAACCTGACACACGCAATTCATCACCGAGCGGCTATCTCAACATTGTACCCAGGTCTAATTTTAGTTCAGGCAGGCTAACGTTTGACCTTGCTAAACTTCCGTGTGAGGCGATCCTTTCTGCATATGTTATCTGTTGGAGTGATCAAAAACACGGGGCAATCTGGTCACCTTTCTGCGTAGGAAAATGAGATGTAGCCGGTGACACGTGCCGGACATATTAGAGATGCTAATGGAGTCGGGATGAGGTCTCACTCCGCTTGGCTCTATCAATCTCAGAAGATCGTCTTGCTGCGAAATGCCAGAGATGGGAAAGTAATATGTGCGACGCTGTAAGAGATTTATACAATGCCCGCCTCAATATCAGCGCTGATCAACCTAAAGGCAACCCAATCTCACACACGTAGCAAAGCAGGCGGCGGGAGAAAATGAAAACACAAAATGATAACGTTTACAATACATGTTCATTTATTTAACATGTGTTGTTTTATATCAAATGTATGGATGCACCCAAGTACCGTGGCGGACCAATCCCTACGCTCCAACTGACAATGTATACAGTATATCTGGAGTTAAAGTATTTCCCCGATATATCTAGTTGTTTCTTCAATTCATTCGCTCAGTCCTGGGTCTACAGCCTCAGTCCTGGATCTACAGCCTCAGTCCTGGATCTACAGCCTCAGTCCTGGATCTACAGCCTCGGTCCTGGATCTACAGCCTCAGTCCTGGGTCTACAGCCTCAGTCCTGGATCTACAGCCTCAGTCCTGGATCTACAGCCTCGGTCCTGGATCTACAGCCTCAGTCCTGGGTCTACAGCCTCAGTCTTGGATCTACAGCCTCAGTCCTGGATCTACAGCCTCAGTCCTGGGTCTACAGCCTCAGTCCTGGGTCTACAGCCTCAGTCCTGGATCTACAGCCTCAGTCCTGGATCTACAGCCTCAGTCCTGGATCTACAGCCTCAGTCCTGGATCTACAGCCTCAGTCCTGGATCTACTGCCTCAGTCCTGGATCTACAGCCTCAGTCCTGGGTCTACAGCCTCAGTCCTCGGTCCTGGATCTACAGCCTCAGTCCTCAGTCCTGGATCTACAGCCTCAGTCCTGGGTCTACAGCCTCAGTCCTGGGTCTACAGCCTCACTTCTGTATCCATAACCTGTCCATCTGTGGGAGTGGATCTCTCACTGTAATTCTCGTCAAAGTTTCTGAAGTGTCTATAGACTTGGAATGGTCCGGGACATTTATAGACATTGGTTCACACCTTATCCGATGGACCAATGGCTCTAAGGTTTCAATTATATATTTTTGTGCTATAATTTGATTTTCTAAATTGTTGTTGGCAAATCAGCATTTCCCTTTGAGACGACTCCTATTGTAACCAGCTCTGAGTGGAGTCCGCGGAGCCGGTCGGTGTCCCTCTGTGGCAGACTAAATGATGTCTTCATTAACCCCTCGTAAACCTCCCCAGTTTGTTTTTCGGTCACAAATTATGTGGAACAAAAGCTTAGTCCGTAATGAAATATGGAGCCAGTGACAGCCTTCTCCCTAAATCCAAAACAAATAACATCTGCTGCTGTTAATGCCATTGCGTTTGCATCTGCGAGTCCTGATCCCCGGAGAAAACAGACCGAAAATCACATTAGAAAGACCGCACACAGATTATGGCTACACCGGATTTCAATATGCTTTTTTTTAGTATTTTAACAAACGCTTCAACCTTATTCAGATATTCTGTTTTAATCCGAGCCAGACGACGTTCTACAAGGGAATAGCCGGCTCTGTCTGTTTAATCTGACAGAATATATTAGGTTTTACGCAAATTTGTGTCAAGAGAGACAGAGAGAAGAAACGATTGTCTTCTGTGGAAATAAAGAGCGGCCATGTGTTTTACTTGTTCAGGAGGATCAGAAGAATAATGAGAATTCTCCTGGCATCACGTGGATCATGTCAGAGAAGGCTGTGCACTTTTTACCTTGTTGTTAAAGCTCGGGTACTGTTGCATATTTTAAGTATAGCAAACGTCGATACACTTATATTTCCTG